AGGAATTTTTAATCAGCCTGCTTAAATGACAACTCATATCTTGCTGAGATGCAAGAGGCTGTAAGCTGCTACAAATGGCCTTGATAGTACAAACTATGAGCCTGATCGAAAGCCCTTGGAAGTTAATGGAAAGACGCCTACTGACTTTAATGAGCTTTGGTTTAAGCCCATACATCCTTGCCAAATAGAGAAGCAGGGCTGAAACCTGTTCCTGGTTACCAGCAGTACCTGAGAAACTAGTCTCCAACTAGGAGTTATTTGAGGAATTTAGTGCTTTTTTTCTGTTCAAGAATTAGTTGCAAAGAGACTCTTATGAACCTGTATGTTGTTCAGAATGACTAAATAACTATTTGATGCCAGTTTAAAGCAGCCCAGGCATGGCTCTCAAACTATTCACTGGGACTTGGAGTGTTTGCTGTTCCTAATTAGCTGTTTGGGCTGTGTAATTGAGGGCACCAAAACAACATGCTGTCATTTCAGCTCCCCGACTCCCAAGTCCAAAAAGAGGTTTTCCAAAGGTTGTGGCACAAGCACTTTCACCAGGAGGATGCCTATGAAAACACATACTGTTCTGGACAAATACAAATAGGCTGGAGCAAACCCATCAGGCTATGTACATGGCTGAGGTAAATCACCCCAGCTCTGCCACAACCAAGGGATTTATGCCAATTTTAACGAGCTGAACAGCTGTCTCATTTATTTCAATATTTTTATTTCGGATTTATACAAAAGGGAGAGCATCATTTGGCCAACACTCTTCAGTAGGACAAGAAACAAATGAATGTATGTACAGTGACCTCACCTCAAATGATAGAACTCAAGGCATAGAAGCATTGTACTGTACAACGTGGTTTAGTCATAACATTGCAATCCCAAGAAGCCATAAACTATAATGATCCTGGACTATACTAACCACACCTGAATATCCTTGTTTTAAAGCCAGCGAGGAACCAGAACAACAAGAGGTTCTGTTGAATTAATTTTCTCAAAGAGTCTCCAGTCAACAGTTCCAAAAACAACGTTAGGAGACTATTGGGGTGGGGGGAGGGGAGGAAGTAATAGTGACATTCCCATCACCCTGCTTTTCAGAGATGGTTTTCCTACGCTGTGCCTTTGTCTGATGGAGGAACTCTGAGCTAAGAATTAGAAACACACCAAATCAAAGGACAGTTTCTCGTACAACTCCAATGAGACTGTGAGGTCGCTCATGCTCTATTCTTTGGTTTCTCCTTTCTGATACTTGGTTTTCTGCTGTAGTGAAAGTGCTCAGATCTCCACAGCTTTCCAGGTGTAGTAGTCCTGGGTGTCTTCTAAATGGCAGTGTGTGCGCTCTTGATGTAGATGGACAAGCAGGAGTCATAATCTTTACAGAAAAGAAAAAACAATCATCAAATGACATGCGTTACAGCAATGCAGGACAAGCCCCCAAGCTGGGTGGCATGCGGTTCAAGCAATGATGACTAAAAGAAAGAAAATTGTGTTAATGACTGAGGGAAAAAATTGAAAGAATCAGCAATGTGGGAAAGGTTGTAGATATATTATATATATTCTGGATAGAAATGTTCATTTAATATGAGATTCATTAACTGAACAATTTGATTTTACCATGGGGTTTTGGTCCCTATTAGTTCAGATAATTGACTCTCTACTGTACATTAAAATGAAATTACTTCTGACCCAACTTCTACCAGAGTGGGAAGAAACAATCTGTAGGTTTGCCTCGTATTTCTTAGATGATTATGCATCAAGCTGTTTGACAGTCCATTAACCTATATCATAACAACATAGCAGGCAATAATGGTATTAACCATAAGCAGAATTAGTGATGAGGTTAGGGGTGTAAGAACAGGTCCTTCCACCTTGTCACTATTTAGTTAGTATTTCCCCACAGGATTTGTGCATTTTCACACCTCATATCCCCAACTTTTCTTTACATAGGTATTAACTCTGGTATTAACTCACCCCAAACCAAGGCAAGTTAAGTTAACTTTCTGACAGAGTTAAAACAGTTGGTATGTCCTCTTCCTCCTTATTTCTATCCTTTTTTTCATACAAAAATTATCACTCACTGCCTAGTATGCTCTGAATCAGCTCAAAGGAGCATCGTGTTATCTGGAAGTCTCATTCTTATGTATATAATAAAGCTTTCAGAGTCCACTGGGAGGGGGAAGCAGAAGTGGGGACAGGAGAATGCTGAACACTGGAGAACAGGGATATGAAGCATTGTGGGATGATGCTCACAGCCCTTTTCAATCAGGGTCCAGGGCTGGTACCCTGCTCACCCCACCCTAGTTATGCTACTATTGTCATGTATAAATTACAATGAGAAACCAGTGAATCTCTCAGTTCCTCTGAAACTAAAAAACAAAGCCAAGCTTCTTGGGTGAAAACCCAACCAAACCAACAGCACAAGAGTTACATAAACCCTGTGTGAACCAAAATCATTACATTTCCTACAGATTTAATAAAGAATTACTTGTGCTATATTCTAAGCCACCTACCAAATGTTCCACCTCTCAAGGCTATCCATGATCTTTGAGAAGAAAATCTATGGCATATGTGAATTTTATATCAAATAATGAGAGAAGACATTTCTGGATACTCATCCTGTTAATGCAAACATCTGTTGTCCACTGTCTACTTTTCCCATAGATCATTGGACTTTATAGTTTATTCAAGATTTCCAGAATAAATAAGAAAGACAAAAGTCACCTCCGGTAGAGTTCATGCCACTAACCTCTAACTGCTGCTGAATCCTACAAATTACCTACACATCAGTCTCCATGAGATTAAAGGATGGAAGGGAAGAAAAGCCAGCAAGACAGTCTTGAGATAGAAAGCTAGAAGTATGGAGATGAGGTTCTATGCCTATCTTTGCCACAAATATCTGTGTTTTTTCACCTGTTCTGGATTGTATCCGTAGATGGCTTGCCAGTCCTGCCTTTTGAAGCTGAAATGGACTAGTTATGAAGAATGCACAAATTCAGTGCACTGGTAAATTGTGTGTGTGAAAGAGAAAGCAGCCTCAGAAAAGATGAAAAGAAAGGCAGTATGTCAGCTTCTCCATCTTATTTCTTACAGACTGTCTCAAGGATATGCAGCACTTGGTGACCAGGAGGATAGTTAGCTTTCTATGCCATTAACCAACACAGGTGTTTATTGTTTCCTGACAGCAGTGGCAGTCTGATAATGTTTTACACACACACACACACATAGACACACACACCCTTCCCCATGAAAGGGAATATAACTAACTGGTGCAGAAGAGGTGCAGAATAAACCACTTAGGGAATCTTCCTTTTGAAGTGAAATCACTGTGCCTTGCATTTAATAGTCATTTGATAACAATTAATGGGAAATAGTGGGGAAGTTTCTGCCCCACCAGGGGAAAGGTTTAAGCTAAAACCCATGGCCCTCGCTTCCTGAGCCACACATGTTCTAGGTTGCTCTCTGTCTCCTGGGCTACAAATAGGTATCACATCTGTCCTGAGAAAGATTATTTTTTCCCTGGACAAAGTGAGATTGTTCAGATGTTCATGTTTGTTGCCCCACAACAAACTCAATATGTGTGTATATGGCAATCGCAGGATTTTTTCTGTTCTGGGGCAAATGCAGGCACAATTTGTCTTGGGACAAATGCAGTCTCCACTCCTAGCTCCTTCTTATGACTATCAAGGAATCCAGCTTCAGAAGTAGGGCTAACAAAGGGACTGGATAACGCCTAATCTCTTAGATTATGATAGTGCCTAAACCTTTCTAGATTCAAAGCACCCCTTGGAAAATGCCATCTCTTAGCTTTAACTCATTTTTTGACTACAGAAAAATAATACAGCCATTCTTCTGTGGCAACGAACTCAGAAAGATCACAGCAGGTCAGAATGTTTTTGATACTGTGTTTCAAATCTCTATGTTTATCTTGTGACACTTTTGCAAGTGTTTGCACATCTAACAGTACAATATTACACAGGATCCTTGCAAAGATCTCATGGCACCTCAGGGGGAGTACCCTGGGCCTAACCGAGTGGTTAGAGCACTATTCTGGGAAACAGGTCCAAACCACCTGTAAATGAGGGTTTCCTAGACCCTGGATCTCCTATCCTGGGCAAGTACCTTAATGACTCAGCTACTGGGGCTAAAACATGGGATGGCCCCTTCTCCTCTCCACCCCTTTGTCATGAGTTTTGTCTGGCTACACTTTTGTGACTTACATGCAGGAACTGTGTGCACATATGTGGCAGTGTGCATCAACCTATTATGCATCTGCAGTATACAAGCACACACTTATGTGTCTACACTGCATAGGTCATGGAGGGTTGGGGTGGATCCAGAGAGGGTGCAGTCACACACCCCTTTCAGAGCACACTATGGGAGCACCAACTGGAGGCTTTTTGAGTCCCTGAAGCAGGTAAGAATCCACCCCTCTCAGCACCCTCTGTGCTCAATGGCACCTCCCTCCTGCTCTCTGCCTTGTAGTGTTGCTGGCCATTTGGGGGAGCTGGACTGAGCTAGGGACAGTGGTGGCAGCAGATAGATTCCCTGTCCAATACCCTCAAGTGTTCCCCACCAGCCCAGGACCAGGTGCAGAGAGGGAGAACCCGTCTGCCAGCACTGCTGTCCCCAGCTGAGCCTACCTCCTTGTGCTGCAACTCCCTGCAGCCCTGGTTGCAGTAGGGCAGGAATGACCAGGACAGCAGCAGCAGGGGGTGGGCCTTCCCTTCTTGTGCCCAGAAGCATAAGTTGAAAGGGTGAAGAAGGGAGGAGGGGGAAGCTGAGAACAGGGATACACCCCACTGAAAATCCTGTACCTGCATATGTAGAGAGTAACAGAACTGCAAACTGTGCCAAAAATGCCACTTACAGATGGAAAACTGTCATTTATGTGCACAAAGGGTAACAGAATTCTGCCCTCTGGATCTAATGTAGATTTATCAGTGTCGGATCTGATTTACAACTGATTTATAAAATACAATGAAAAATGAAGTGATCAAGCCTGAAATGGCACTAAAGTGCTAAGAAAGTGTGTAAGAAAGTTCATACTAGGAACAACTGACTAATGAAACCAACAGGTTTATCTATTTCATAATAAAGTATAAAACATTAAGTTAATGGAGATATTTTAGTCCTGGGTTATTAGACGATGGCAGCAATTAAGATTTTTATATCTCTTTTATAACCCTAGCACCTCTAGATACTTAACACACTGTCAGCCTTTATATTTCATATGTGCATTTATCTTTGCTGTGGGGTAAACATTTTAATTCATTTTATTGGGTTGGGGGGGGTTATAATCTTGATTAGTTTATAGGCAACAGTGACCATTTATTACATTAAGGCCCCCTCTTCATGTTACAGGTAACTAATTAATCACGCAGTTACCTTAAGACTTATCACATGATAAAAAGCTCCAACCAGCTATAAAGTTAGACCTCGAAAATTTGTACTAACTTTACAGCTGGCTGCTATCGAGCTTTAATTTGTACATGTAGCAAGGTCTCCTCCGCAACTGGGAGCCCTGTCAACTGACAGGGCTTGAAGCCGCAGCAGTGCACCATGCCAACTGTGAAACCCCCAAGACCTGGGGATCAAGGCAGCTGCAATTCCCAGGACTCAGGTGGGCATGAAACCCCCAGACCTGGGGGATCCAGGCAACAGCAATCCCCCAGGCCCAGAAGTTTCACACACCTCCAAGCTTGGAAGATTGTGGCTGCCGCAGTCACCGAGCCCTGGGGATGCACTGGGGCCCCCATGGCTGGAGTCTCAACTGAGGGGCTACCAGCTGCAGGAGTTTGATTCTTGCCAGTGCAGGAAGAGCCCAGAATCAAGCTCCCCCTGCACTGGCAATAAGGTATGATGGGATCTGATGCCACAATCACACCTTCTGGCATGCACACACGGCATGGCAGGAAGCGCAATTATGTGGCTCATGCATTAAATCCCATTGTGCCTTTACCTGCATGTATAGAGGGGGCCTAATTATAATAATATACTCAGGTCTCCTTATGGTGCATAGTTCTCTTAAAACTTGATTTTGCTTTCCATTTTGGAATGAAGACATTCGTCACTGTTTTGATATAATTCTATACAGGTAAAGTGTTCTTAATATTGGGACAAAGTACATTGAACTGTTTCTCTCCCCCTTTTTCCCCACTTGCCAAACAAAGCTTCCCTCTGCATTTTTCAACTCTATTTTAGAGCCGCAGTACATGGCTGCTTGTACTCTCCTAGAATAAAGCTGACATACCAGCAAACCTTCAAACACTGAATGCTGCTATCCAGAGAGTACAACTATAAAGTGAGCAAATTCCTTTTACTGTAGAGAAACCAATTAACAAAGTGAAGTAATATTGAGGTCTTCACCACCACAAACAAACTACCTGCTCAAGGAAATTGGCACTGGTGATGACTTCCTCCATGTGCTCTTCATCTGACTTTAAAACGGATTTGATATTTTCCACCAATTCATGTATATCAGGGGTCATACTGCAGGAGGACTGCTCTAGGAACCTCGCCACAAGAAGTTTAGTGTCTATATATGACTTATAGTCTATCAAGGACCGTGGTCTTGCTCTCAAAGCTCTTGCTCTCAAACTCTTCCGTAAAATGACAGTAGCCAGTTCTTGTTTTAACTCTGTTTGAGTTGCAGCTTCACAGCTTAACACTGGACCTGAAGAAAAAAGATGAAACAAGATAAAAGAAACACATTTTCTCTATTGGGACTGTTGAAAAACAAGTGTTAGAATTGAGATATCAGCACGGATGTCCTGCACAAAATAACCAAGTGAAAATTACTGCCCAATGATTCCAGTTTTCTGACAAGCCTCAATCCCTTTTGATAAATATTTGTGCTTTGGATGAACATTTCTCCCTGTAGATGATGCATATGAGAGAGAGACAGAGAGACCATGGGCGCATCTATACGCTGCCATAGAGCAATGTTGCTACTTCCAAAAGGAAGTACTAAAGTATGACACCGTAATTGCCTGTACCGTGCAGTGTGCACAGCACATGGTTAGATTTTGCCACTATGTTGTCAGAATGGCACGCTAAAATGGGGGAGTGCACCACTCCAGCAATGTAGCTGCCAATCACACGTAGACCCACGTGATCACTATGTAGCCATAGCACACCATACAGTGACAATGCACATCGCTACAGCAATGTAGGACAACATGTAGACATACCCTGTGTGTTGGGAAGTAAAAGAAATTAATCCTCTGGCCTGCAACCAAGCAACCGCAATCATGGCTACACTGTAGCCCTCCCAAGCCCATACACCAGCCAATAGTCACCTCCTCAAGGCTTGATGTCTTCTGTCCCTTCCCAATTTGTTAGCAGTGGGAAGGACTGTTCCAACCCAGCTCAACATGCTGCAGCCCCAGGCTAACGTGTAAATACAGCACCTGAGAGCAATAAACTCCAGCACAAACTGTGCCAGAGTTTATTCAGCTGTGTTAATTTCATGTGTACATGCGCCCAGTGTGTTTTCCAAACAGGGTTAATATGATCTTGATAATATTACTTCTATGCTTAAACTCTCTACCAAATGCAAGTCACTGGAAAGACAAAGTTAAGCTATTGAACCCTCTGCACTAAAGCCCTTCACAGAGTGCTGAGAGCCCGTACAAGCACTTTTAAACGAAGGGAATTACACCCATTTGCAAACAACAGTTTCCCAGGAAGACACACACCTCTGATTTTTCCTCACCCCTGCTGTATTCTGCTACCACTGGCAGATACAGCAGCTGTTGATTTTGGAAAGAGTCAAGCTGAAGCTGTGTAGAGCCTGACAGACAAGTTAATGAGAGGTGGACTGAATACATAGCTCCTCCCATACCACTATTATTTCTGTGTATTCCTTCAAGTTATGATGTATTATTCTTGTTCTAATGCTTTCTTTGCTTCCTTCTATGGCTTACAGATATCAATGCTCAGAATGATTTGTGATGTACTATTCAGAAACTTTTTTTTCTTAAAACCAATACAAAGAATGACAGTACCGACTGTACGTATATTAAGAAAACTCTTCAAAATGACCCTAGGAGAACTAAACAGAGAAAAAAAAAATCAATTCCATGGCACATTGGCTAAATACAATTTGTTTTGTTTTTAACATAAAAGTGCCTGTAGATTAATAAAGTAGCCCTGGAATGTGGGCATTATGCCAGGGATAACAGTAATTCCAGGAGGAGTTCCAGTACTTCTTATCAAGGGAGATCAAACTAAATGGGATTGACTTCCGCAGTTACAGCAGCTGAATTCCAGCCTTGCAGCAGCTGGGTATTTCACTTTCAGGTCCAAGGCTATGCTGCAGAGAACTAATCTCAATTACAAATAGAACCAATGCCATCAGAAACCCAAGGTGCCTGAAAGCTGCTGACTGATGGCTTCTATCTATAGCACAGGGCACCCCTCCCTTCCACCACCACCCAACCTGCTATTAATAGGTGATTGATTCATGTAATTTAACCATTGCTTCCAAAGCAAACTCTAGAAGCTACTGAGGTGGAAGAGAAGAAAAGAGGTATGGAAAAATGGGTGCAGGAGGAAATATTAGAACTAAAAGATAATCAGGCAAGCGTATGCTAAGTATAAAACAGTGATAAGTGTCTTAGTTATTCAAAATGGTCAGAAATTGTAGTTATTTTATTATTCTAGGAAAGAGTCCATTATTAAAACCTACAAATAACTTATTTTGTAGGAATTTAATACTCATCAGCACCTACTAATGAAATTTCAGTGAGCCTGCTCTAACTAGTAGTAATTTTGAGGACTGTAAAAGAAAAGTTATAATTTGTGACACAGTCTTGTAGTAGTTGTTCCTGGAAAACAGTTTTGCTTTTATTGACAGGCCAGTGCAAACACAGATATTGTTAGTAGAAGATATTTCAATTCTGATGTGTGAAAAAGAAAGAGCACAGGGTAGCAGCTCACAAAATACCTGGTTGAAACAACAGAGAAGAAAGAGAGGATCTTCAGATGCTGATACCGTTGAAATGAAACATAAATGCACTGACGAAAACACAAGATCTTTCCTCCTCAATTTTTTGTTAGCAGCTAGTAATAAAAACATTTGCTGAAATAACTCCTGAATGTAGTAGTCAGTCAAACCAATTCTAATACATGACTTTGAATGGTATGTATATGTATTTGTTTTTAACATATATGCTAGCATCCCTGGAGTCTTCCCAGATGCTACATGTGATACTTTAACATTTCTGCCAGACAAACATTTCTAAAAGTCATAGAACGTAAGTACAGTCAGTGCTGGTATAAAATAAGAAAATTAAGTCACCCCTAGGTGGCAAGCCATGGAGCACAGGGTCACTTTTTGATCTCTTTCGCAGAGGACTGAAGACTCTCTTGCATGCTACTGCAGGCTCTGGGCTTGGATCCGAAGGTGGAAGGCTCTCTCTACTGGAAGAGCTGGGAATATCCTCATGTACTGAATAATGGAAAATAGTAAAGATGAAGGAAAACAAGTCAGAATAAGTTAGGTATGCAATAGCATACAGCAAACAACAGGTTGTAGTTGCCAGTTAGGGGCTATATTTCTTATTGCCATTGGTTTCATTGAGAAATGCATAAAAAAAATCTATATAATTCTGAAAAATCTCAGAAGCCTTGATAAAAATACCTGTGGATGATGACCCATTTGCAACGGGCACAGCGGAACCATGTGCCAGAGTCATATTAAATGCAAAGTTAGACCTGGACAGGCTACATTCAGTAACATTTGGAGACACCAAGGTTAAAAACTTCTCACACAAAACAATATTCAGCAGAAGTCCCACATTTCAACAACTGAAGATGACAACTTTTGTCACAACACTGTGGTAAATAGGAGAACCTGATAATTATAAGCAAACCATTTACACACCAGTGTGTGGCATTTTAAAATCCAATTTCATACTCTTAGCTAAAACACAGAGAAATCAGCCAAATATTTAGGTTGGTTCATTTTTTCTAAGTAACCAAACCCCCAACAGCCTGCTGCATGGAATTATATGCTACTAATAATACAGAACATATGATCGTGACAGCAAGTGGTGCAACATATTATGTTCCAGAGAATTCGACAGAGGTTGAAGTTGGATTTTTTTTTTCAGTGGTAATTTCACAACAGTCTGTGACAGCAACTGGTACCTCACATGGAAACAAAATGTTCTTGTTTATGTGAGAGCAAAGGGCAGTGTTAATGTAAATCATCACTTTTTCAGAACCTAAAAAATGGTAGTTCTTGACTGTCTGGCTAGTAGAAAAACAGCAGACACTGAAATCACCAAGAACAAATATAACTCTAAAAGAGGTTAGCTAGTAATCTCCTCCACTAACCCTTAGCCCTCCACCCCCAGAATTTAAGTGTATCTTGTCTGCTACTTCAGTTCAGCCTAAGAATCCAGATAAACAGGACATGATGAGAAGGACCACAAGGCAGCTATCAACCTAGAATGTCAAAATGTGGGACCAAAGCCCAAAACCTGGAGTTAATAATAACAATGACCTATAGTAGACAAGGAAGTAGGAAAATGAAGCAGGAAATGGAGCAGAGTACAGAACTATGTCCATCATGACTGTACCTGGGCTGAAGCCAATACAGTTACACGAACATTTGAGTACACCAGTCCAGTCCTACAGTCTGCAATAGTGTTGATGCTCTGGGTGATTTTCTACTAACAAAGCTAGAGTTGACATATCTTCTTGCATATAATGTGCTCCTGGAACATAATATGCCCCTTGATTTTGAAAGGCAAAATGAAGGCTTCCAGAGTGATGGATGCATAGAGCAGGGACAGAGCCTAATCTTCAACTGATTCACTCTCCTTTTCCTGCTTAGGCTGTGAAATAGGTGGACACCAGGAACAGCTAGCAGTCAGCAAAACTGTCCTAAGAAAGGTTAACTTGATCAGTGGAATTTCAAGACCATTAACAAGGATACAAAGTCATTAACACCTGTGGAGTGGAAAAATCAATTGACTCTCTCAGCTGTCTGAATAATAATATTACAGCTGCTACACTGTGGGTGTGTCTACACATTGCCCTACGGCAACTTTGTTACTGTGCCGTGCCTTAGTACTTCCAACCTTTTGGAAGTACTAAAGCACGGTGCAGTAACCATCTGTACCGCACTGTGCGCGCGGCACATGGTTAGTTTAAGCCGCTACTTTGCTGTAGTGGCACACTAGAATGGGAGAGCGTGCTGCTACAGTGAATTAGCTGCTATCACATGTAGACTCATGTGATCATTACATCACTGTAGCACGTCATACGGCGACATACCACGCCGCTATGGAAACGTAGGGTGACATGTAGAGGTGACCAGTAGAGAGGAAATAAAAGCAGAATGATTCAACTTGTGGTCTAAATACACTCAATCCCACTTTGGGGTGGGTGGGGGGGATGAGGTAGGGATAGATGTGTGCGGTATGCAAGAAAATAGAGTAATTTGGTCTTATGACCTTACAATAAATAGCTGTACAAAAACTTTCATCAGTCCAAATGGTGATATAAACAGATTGCAGCAGCTAAAAGCGGGATGATGTTAGAGGTAAGTTTGCTTCTAGGATTGTGCAATACATGAGGA